ACCTGCTTCTGGGCCTTCAGCTCTTGCAAGTCGTTCAACAGGACGTGGAGTTGGAATTTGTGCGACAAATACGCCAATCGTTTGAAGCAAAACGATTTGAGCGGTCCGTCGGTTATGGTGCGGCACAAGAACTTCATGTCATCGATGAAGTGGTTGAATGTCGTCACGGGATAGGGAGCATCTGTTGGTCACAATCGCATGATTAGCGCCTGTATTGCGCAACAAATGAGGCAATGCTTACGTCGCCCGTCTTGGAGATCGTCTTTGCCTTTGTAGACGCGAACGACTCCCTCTTCGATCCGCAATATATAGTCCAGATTCGGAGGAATGCTTGCACTCCAGGGGTCGCCAATGATGGGCGGTTCGTCGCAATCAACTGATGGATCACAGCATAGATTGTCAGTCATTGTCAAGTCATGAGGAATGGTGTCGGGAGTGGTTGTGTTAGTGTTTAATGGGTTCTACTGTACGGTTATTGCACTGCAAACCGTAATACCTGTCCATTGGTAGCGGACACGTATTGGACTCAAAGCCAAATGAAAGGGTCGTCTCTGAGAACCCGAGTGCGAGACCTTCGGAAGAAACGCAAGACTATAGCAATGGGGCGAAGACTCACCGCTTTCTGCCGGCGTCTGTGCTTTGAATATGTTGTGAACGAACTGACGGGTCGTCTCACAGAAACTCTGTTGCGATTCATTCATATATCGCTCCCGAAGACGGAGGGCTTTCCGGAGACACTTGTTTTGTCCCTTTTGTTCGTCAGATAATGCCTGCAATCAAGAGGTGTCAATAAATGAGACAAAGGCTGGTGTGGGAGGTGTGAGAAGTGGTCATACGTTTGTCGGCTCTATTTTGCAGACCCCTTGAGACGCCTCCTCCGCACTGATCTTCGAGATGTACTCGAGTGGACCCAAAGAGAACTCCTCTTCCGTGGGGTAAAAGACGGGACATTCGGGCGGAGGGATGAACTCGAAGTCAGCACTGGAGGAGGTGTTGGAGGAGGTGTTGG